GAAGAATATCTGTGAGCTGGAATCAGTCCTTCAGTCACCTGTTTAAAGAGCTTTTCACAGGAGCAAAGTAGCACTTATTCAGTTCCTGTTCTCCAGGTGTTTGAGTTTCAATCAGAAACTATTAATAAAGAAGACAAGGAACCCAACCACATTTTGAATGTTTGACTCAAAAATCCTCCTGCAAGCAATCTGTGGTTCCAGGCTGGACTATCCCAGGCAGCCAGAACCAGCAAACCACACTTGAGCTATTGCTCCTCTGACTCAGACATCGTCCCTGTGGGAAGGATCTTGCACCCTCCCCTCCCCAGAAACCACCCTGGGAGGGGGAGTCCTGCCTGCCCTTCCTCCTTGGAGCCTGCCTTTCCTGGCCTCCCTCTGTGCCGTCCAACACTCCTTCCTGCACAGGGAATGTGGGATGGGGATGCCTTCAGAGCTTGGCAATCCTGCTCTCCAAGCAGAAGATGCCCAGCTCGAACCTCCTGCAGGGTGAGCTGCGACAAGTGCCTGAGGTTTGGGGCAGTGTCCTCCTCTGGTGCAAAAGGGATCTGACTCCATCCACCAGAGCAAACAGCCCCTGCTGGAAGGAAGAACAGGAACAGGGCACAGCACCAGGCATCCTGTGCCACAGGAATGCCTCAGCTCCTGCCAGCCTGAAAATGGGAGCAGGAAAATGGAGAAAACCCTGCTTGGACCACGAGAATTCCTGCTCTGGGAACAGCCTTGGAAATGTGCTCCAGTGCTGGAGCAGAAAAAGGCTTCCTTTGCTGGCATTATCCCCAGAAAGCAGGAACAGGAAAGGTGCTGTGGCTGGGCTGGCATCACAGCAGTCAGCCTCGTTTAATCCCTGAGACCGTGTCAGCCCTGGCTCGTGCTCGTGCAGTCTGACATCCCTGCTGAGCAGTGCCTGTCACTCCTGTCCCAGCCATCCACCTGTGAGCATGGACATGAGCAGCCAAAGCCTCAGGAAAGGCTGGAGGTTCCAGCCTCCCTCAACGTGAACATCTCCACAGACAGTCCTTGTTCTCTCCCTGCCACTCCAAATGTCAGCAAAAATGACGCCTGTGGTGTTCAAACACCACAAATTTCACATTGTAAACAGCATTTACAAGTTTCATTTTTCAGAACAAAAGCTGAGACTAGGCATTCTTCTGTTGTAATATTTAAGTAAGTACACAGGGAGTTGCTGCAATGTCACACAAACAAACCCCAAAACATCCAAAAGGCACATTTCCAGCCTTCCTTACAAGGACTGGATCAGCCCATTCCAGCCCTTTTGCAGGCTCTGAATTGTGCTGAATTACTCTCCACAGACAAAGTAACCCCTTTTAAACATGGTTCAGACCGTATAAATTCTTTGTTTATCCCTGTGGAAACTTCCAGGGATTGCAAACACTGTCCAAGGACTTTCACAGAAGCAGGAACAGCACAAATTCCTCAGGGGACTCAGCCATCCCCTGTGCTCCTCCAGGATCCACAGGGATTACCAATTACTGTCTCCAGGTTCAGAGGGGTCACAGGTACAGTCCTCACACCACACTTCCAGGACTTGACCCTTTTATTTTAATAATATCACTCTTTTCACAGAACTCCTGAAATCTATCTTCTAGAAATGCAAGTTCAGTGCAATCTTATTTGGGAAAAAAAAAAAAGGAAAATCCATCTGAATTGCTGAAAAAAAAACCCAAACCAAACCTTCCCCTCATTCCCCTCATTGTCTCTTCCCAATAGGATTTAATTCCCTCCCTTTGTCATTTCCTAGTTTTCATGTTTAAATTTCTCCAAAGAAATCAAAAGAAGAATCCTATCTCTCCTGTTTTCTGAAACAGCTCTCTATATATTCTCACTTCTTCTTAAGAGCTAATAAACTGGATTAATTTTTTTAGGTTTTTAAGTAGAAGAAAAGCTGAGCAGAGACTTAACCCCTCCTCTGAACCTTGCACAAAGCCTGGATTTCACAACCTGACTTGCAGCACAAATACACCTCCCAAAGAATGCTTTTTCAAACTTTATCTGGGAAGGTTTTGCAAAACAGGCATCAAGCACTAATTCTCTTTACACTGCTAAAATGATACTTACAGCTGGGAAGGAGTGGGATAGAATTCCCTCAGTGTAAGTAGCTGTGTCCTGCCAAACCCAGCTAAGGCTGAGCTGGATGTCTGAAATATCTGCTGCTCCAAAGCTTTGCTCTGCTGCTTGCTCCAGAGGGAATGGCACAGTAAATGCCATCTGATGGGCCACAGCACAGGGGGGTCTGCACAGCCCAGACTGACCCCAAACCCAGGGCTTAACTGATTTCTCTAAGTCTGGCATCAAAAGTTGCCAGGATGGCAACACCCTCACTCTTTGCTATCTGCTTCTGCAACAAATCACAGCAATTTAGAGCTTTTACATTCATGGGATCCAGCCTCCCTAGCAGAATGCCTGTGTCCATCTGAGCAATCCAGGACATAGCTCAGGCTGCTGCACTGCCCAAACACCAGTGCTGGAAGCACATCCAAAGGGTGAGGAAAGCCTAATTTGGTTGTCAGGCTTTTTTCCTCCCCCCTTCAGTATTTTTGGCCTGATCCAGATGCACCCTGCCAAAATCTGTCCCCATTGCACCATCACTCCATGAGCTATTTCACACCTCCCGTTCCATTCTCCTGTGGAGCCAACCCCACGCAGACACTGCTGGTGTCCAACGTGTGATGGAATGGAATCTGTCCCTGGGCACGGGAGAGGCCAGGGGGTGCCAGGGGTGAAGGATCTCCACGGCAGAAATGATGCTCAGCTGTGCAGTTCCTCCCATACCTTCCTGGTCATTGGATCCAAATGTCACAAATGTCTCAGCTTTCTATGGATCTGAGAGACAGGGACATGCAGTAATGTGGGAGAGGGGATCACAGCCTTGGGGAAGGGAGAAGCTTCAGCTAGCCAGGGGGAGTACTTTATAACAGAAGAAAAATAGGAAAAAAAAAGAGAAAAAAGGAGGAAAAAAGACAGGAAATGTAAGGAAAAAATAGAAAAGGGAAATAGGGGGAAAAGGCAAAGAAGAAGAGATGAAAGAGGAAAAGGGGGAAAAGAGGAAAGAGAAAAAGGTGAAAGAAAAAAGTGAATGAGGAAAAAGGGAAAGGGGGAAAGAAGAAAAGGAAAAAGAGGAAAAGGGGGAAAAGGGGAATATAAAAAGGACAGAGAAAAGGGAGGGGGGAAAGGGAGAGGAGGAAAGGGAAAGAAAAGAAAGTGAATAAAAATAAAATGAAAAAAGGGAACAAAGGAAGAAAGGGAGACAAAGGTGGCTGGTTCTACACCAATCCTTTAACAAAGGAGACCAAATCCCAGGGTTTCCATTTGAGTTCAGTTGGGGAAGAGGAAGGGGAAAGGGAAAGGGAAAGGGAAAGGGAAAGGGAAAGGGAAAGGAATTTCTCAGGAGCTGGGCCTGGTGCACAATGGCTACAAAGGAGCAACTCCCTTTGCCAAGGCTCAGAATTCCCCCGATTGTCCCCAGAGAGATGAAATCCACGCCTGTACCCTCAGACACATCCCAGCAAAGCAATGGAGAGTGGGAGCAAGGCACCAGAGGAGCAGGATCAGGCCTCACCTCCACTGTTCCCCATTCCAGCTCTCTGCTGCTCCTGGGCCTCCCTCCTGCATGGGGTACTCTGCAGGGTTTGGGACACAATTTATACCTGAGGCCACGCTGTGCATCTCTGGAGGGGTCAGTCAGGTGGGGAAGGATCAGAAGTGATGTGCTCTGGAGCTAGTGAAAAGCTGCCATGTTCTCCAAGCTCACCAGCAACAGCCAGGGAATAATCTAGGGCTCATCCCTTCACTGAGCACTGCAAATGCACCCCAAATGTGAGGGCTCAAAACACACTGAAATTCCAATTTCCTACAGTCCCCTCAAGTCCCTTTGCCAGGCACTGCCCTGCCCGTGGCTGGGACAGATGTGTGCCACCCCCAGGGTTTGCTGTGTTGCCTGTCTGCCTGGGCTGCTTGGCTGGGAAGTGCTGCTTTTGTGCCAGACTGGCTCCAGGGGGTTACAACAGTCCCAAAAAATGCCAAAACACTAGCAAATCTGAGAGATGTCCACTTGGAGCCTCTCTTCTCTTACCCAAGAGCACATTCATAAACATGTACAGGAACATGCCAAAGCTGCCCACAGAGAGGAATTCCTGCTGGAATTAGCAGTGCTGGAGCTCAGCTTGGCCAGGCTCCATCTCCAGAACAGGGCAAGAGGCTCTGCTCCTCGAGATGTGGGACACTCTGCTCCTCAGGACGCTCTGTTCCACAGCTCTCACAACACCCCACTCCGAGCACAGAGCTGAGGCAGCAGAGCAGGGACCCTGCAAATTCACCACCTGCCAGTGTGTACTCACTGGTAACATGGATGCTCGGGGGGGCTGAGGTGAATCATGGAAAGAGCTGCTGTCCTGAACCCAGGAAAACAAGCCAACACAGGCAGTAACTCCTCACTGAACCTGCCAGCACCCTGCATCTCCCACAAAGGCTGACTCACTGAGCATATTAAATTAGGTAGCATTTTACAAAGTCTCACAGATCAGCAGATGAAGAATTCGTGGGACAGAGCAGCAGATTCCTCTTCCCAAAGCATCCTGAGATGAGAATTCCATACCAGGTGTCTGGGAGCAGATCAAGACTCCTGGCAGCACACTGGTAACAAATCTGGCTGGATTCTCCCTGGTGGGGTCATTGGTGTGTCCAGGTGCCCGTGCTCCCCGCAAAGTGCCCTCAGCCTGGGCACACCCACTCCTGTCTCTGGGCTCATCCCTGGCCACCAGTGAGGATTATTTGCTTCACACTCTCCCTTTTCTCCCCTCAATCCTTCCCCTCTCCTAAAATGTGCTGGTGGCAGCACCACAGGCAGCACCCCTGGGGGACCGAGCCAGGGAAGAGGTGGAAAACCCCAGACACAGCACAGGGAAGAGTCACATCCCAACATTCTGGAGCTGTGTGGGAAAGAGGATGAAAGCCAGGCTGGGGAGAGAAAACAGGGCGTTTACCTGACAGGAGATCTGCACCAGGTACACCAGCTCCTTGGACTCACAGCCATTCCTCGTCACTTCGTTCTGCTCCTCCGGGAGCGAGAGCTGCAGAGGGGGAAGGAGAGAAGAGAGAGGAGGATCAGCCAGGGAACAAACCAGGCCCAGAGCAGCACAAGGAGCTCAGCATCCACACAGCTGGCTCCCAGACATGCTGAGTCCCAGGGAATCAGGGAATCAGGGAAGGGCTTGTCTGGCTGGAGCTGCCACAGGGGAGACACTCAGCACACACAGACCCTGCAATGCCACCGGATTCTGGAAGCTCACCTGACAGGTTAAAAATAAAAATACGGTTCAAAAATAAAACAGTTACGGGGAGGCAAATGGTTTGAGGCAGGAATTAAACCCTCCAGCTTAGAAGTCTGCAAAATTAATTGTTCACTGAAAATATCTCTATAAATATTCATGGATAGTGAATATAGAACAGAGCTTCTCCATAACCCCTCCCCACATTTTTAAAGTTTTTTGTATTTTATACATTCAGGCAGACATTAGATAATAAAACATATCTTCCAATTTCAGTGCTGTCAAGCAATTCACCCCAGCAGTTTTATAGTACCATTCATCACACCCAGAGTCATTAACTGCATCATCAGGATGTGTTGTGTGAGAGCAGCGAGGAGACATTCCTGCATATGGACCAAGCCTGGAGCATCCCACTCCTGGCCCTGTTATCCCACTAAAACAGCTTATGTTTAATGATCTTCTCTGAGAGCAGAAATTACACATAATCCTAAGTAAGTTAAGACTGTTTGCAAAGCAAATAAATAAAGGAAATGTGTACATAAAACTTAAAAGGCTGTAAAAAAAAATCCCAATTAGCCAAGAGTAAAAAATTCCTGAAACAAATGAAAGCAAAAGTGAAAAAAAAGCTGAGGAGAAGAATGCAAAGTTGCTGTATTTAATGAATGTAGGCAAGTAAAAATCAGAAGTGGGTAGTGAGAAACACCTCATGAAAGAGGAACAAGGAAGGCAAAGTTCTCTCCATACAAATGACCATGACACCTGCAATTTATTTAACTTTGTTCTGCCAGAATCTCCCTTCTCTCTGTAGGGAAGTCCCACCACACATGGATTGAAGCCCTCTCCCTCCACCAACCCAGCTCCTGGAATTTTAATTTCTTTTCTGATGGCTATACATAGGTAAGATACAACTTTCCTGCTTCAAAGGTCTTAAGATTTGTACAATTTATTACCAGCGTAGGCTGCTGCCGTTAATGTGATTAAACAGAACCATTGCTTCTGTATTGCACCTTCCCTCCACCTGTACTATCATTCTCTGCTATCAAATGTCACATCTGAAGTGCTACTGAGTTTTGAAACTACAGCCAAAGGAAACCCACAGCATGCAGTAAAGGAAGGTTCACACACACTGTAGATATTTGCCATGTTTGCCAGGTATGCGGAGCCACAAAGATGATCCAAAGGCTGGAGCAGCCCTTCTGTAAGGAAAGGCTGAGAGAACTGAAAATGTTCACCTGGAGAAGAGAAGGATCCACCAGGGAGAGCTCAGAGCCCTTGCAGGGCCTGGAGGGGCTCCAGGAGAGCTGGAGAGGGACTGGGGACAAGGGATGGAGGGACAGGACACAGGGAATGGCTTCCACTGCCAGAGGACAGGGCTGGATGGGATACTGGGAAGAAATTCTTCCCTGGGAGGGTGGGCAGGCCCTGGCACAGGATGCCCAGAGCAGCTGTGGCTGCCCCTGGATCCCTGGCAGTGTCCAAGGCCAGGGTGGACATCGGGGCTTGGAGCAGCCTGGGGCAGGGGAAGGTGAGATGGGCTTTAATGGCTCTTCCAACCCAAACCAATTCGGAGATTCTATGAATCACATGTGGGTTTCCTACTCCTGGAGAAAGTTTTCCATCCTCTAATCTCCCCTGTGCTCTTGAGGGCACATGGACCCCCCAGTCCCAAAGGAATTTCAGGTGTCCCTTCACTGAGTGTATCAGTAGCAAAGCTCATCACCACAGATCCTGAAAAAAACAACAGCCAGGTAACAAAATCACCAAGAGGCAATTGCAGAGCTCCCTGAAAGGACTTCAGGGCCCGAGTGTGCAGCAGAACGTGGGGAAGAGAAAGGCACAGGGTGAATTCATCCCCCTCCCACACTGACAGCAGGCTGGGCTCCAGCCACCCAGGGCTCTGCACAGAGCTCAGGAGCAGCAGTGATCAGCTGGAGGTGTGAGCAGGGCACTGAGGTACAGCACTCTTCCTTCCCGAGGCACTGCTGCCTGGGGACCATGCTCAGGATCACATTCAGGGGGTTCACACCCTCCCAGCCAGCCCCTTTTCAGTCCCTGTCCACACAAAGTCACTGTGGGGACATTCCAGCCCACTGATGGCCATGGTCCATGCACCTGTCCCCGATTTCAGAATTGTAAAAGCCAGCTGAACACTGCTCCTCTCCCACAAGCAGCCTCACGCTGAGACAGAGACAGAAATTGTTTACACAGGAAAATCTGTGGGGTTTATCCTGCAGTCCAGCTGTCCTCACAGCAAAATGCCCCCAAAGATGAATATTCACTCATGTTCCCTGTCCCCACGTGGCTCAGTTTTTATTTTGCTTTGGCAATAGACATGCACCAAAGCTCTCCCAAAAATCATGGATGTCCTGATGTTTAAAAGCCTTTCCTGCTGCTGCATTCCTTGTAAACAGAACATCCTGGAAAGCACAGTTGCCCCCAGGCTTGATTTGAAATCCAAGCACAAAGCAGAGGCCTCTCCTGACCTTACTGGACTCTGAACATGACTCACGGGCAGAATCTGCTTGGCTCCAAAGTGGGACATTGATTTTTGTGTTCTTAAAGAACAGAGCAGCCAGCAGGGCCTGGTGGATATCCCTGCAACTGTGCCAGTGTGTTTTCCTGAGGTAAATAATCTGTAAATAGCATTTATTGCAACTGACCACAGTTAAACAGCATATATTTTATAATATATAATCTGCAATGTTCCTTCTTCACATTGAAATTGGCTGTCAAACCTCCCGAGCCTGATGAACAATTATGAGGCATTAGATCCCATTAGGTTAATTTATTGTTGGAATGTATATGCTTAGCTAGGGTGAGTGGATATGACAAATTTCATTAATGGCCTTCAGAGTATCCTAAACTTTTCATTGGTAGCATTTCATGATACACAAAGAAAGCCTTAAAAACAGTCACACCACACTTCATGTGTATGGATAATGCAGAATCTTGGAAACATGACAGAATTAGGGAATCCCAGAATGCTTTGGATTGGAAGGGACCTTAAAGCTCATCTGGTTTCTCGGGCAGTGACTCCTTCCACAGTCCCAGGCTGCTCCATCCTGGCCTTGGGCACTTCCAGGGACAGGGCAGCCACAGCTCCTCGGGGCAGCCATGCCAAGGCATTGCTCAAATTTGTCTTTACATGGCTGGGGACAAGTCTCAGAGCCTCCACCCTGCACACACCCACTGAGAACTGATGATGAATTCAACACAGATAATTTTTCCTCTACCAGCCAACTAGCACCAAAAGTTTTGGGCTCTTTTTGCCCAAAAGAGCAGTGCTTGCTGGCCAAGACTTTGCTGATCACAGCTACAAGGAGCTTAAACTTAAAAATGCTTCTCGTTCATGTCTGAGATAGAGGCTCATCTCTGGCAAGCTGGGTGATAAGGGGACTGATTACAGGGCTCTCCTGCAGAGCAAAATTTATTGGTCATTCCTCTTGTACAGAAGAACAGTGACAAAGCAGGAGGCTGAGTTATGATATGGCATATTCAGAATTAAAAATAATTAAAAGATAACTCTTGAAATCTGTGCAATCATTTTTTTACTTCCAACCACTGCAGAGTTTTGTGTGCTCCTCTTACAAATATCAAAAGCTGTGAAAAATCATCTCAGGAAAAGCACTACCACCAATCTGTTGAGAGGACAGGGATTGTTGGCTACTAACAGTGAGCCAAATCCTGACCAGGTAAGACCTGGTGCCCCTGAGCCCCAGATTTCAAAGGAAGCTCATTCAGCCAGCTTTAACTTTCACCTCCTTGTTTCCTGAGTGTTGTCAACCCCATCATGCAGCTCTCCTGGTGAAAGGCTGATTTGTGAGAAGCCTGGGAAGCGTAGGTTTGATTTGTCTGTGGAACTTACTTCAACTTCTGCTTCATAAAGCCATGAACACACTGATTGCACTCATGCACATCACAGCAAGTGAGTAACACAGGGCTGTGGCAGAGAGCTCACAATAAAATAAAAACATGTAAGAAAAAGAAAACAAAACATAAGAGGAAAGAATAAAGCCTGAACAAATCCCCCTCCCCAACAGAATCAGCGTTAAGATTATACTTTAATGGGGGAGGCATTCAGTAATTAGATGACAATTAATTAATGAGAACTGTAAGTTAGAAAACTAATCTCGTTTCCAAATAGAAGGAGCAGATCATCCTTCCCAAACTCCAAACCTGTCTGCGCAGGTAACGGTGTAAACTTTTATACTTTAATTAAATTAATCCAACTGACACCGCCTCTCATGTCAGATGAGTGTAGAGCTACACTGACCTGGGGCACAGCCAGGGAATAATACTCCAGAGAGCAGCAAAACCCTGTAAAATAACTCCTACAATTCTTGGAGCTGATTTCAGTCCCCCACACAGCACCTCCCAGGTTTCATCTAAATTCCTTGGATGATGATGCCCTGGTTGGGGAGGCAGCAGAAAGCCGACGCTTCAAAGGTGATGCTGTGTGTGCACACCAGGGCCTGGCTCCTGCAAGAGGCTTTAGAGACACTCTTAGTGCAGAGCTGAGACAGGATCAAGCCACAGGGACAAAACAGGAGCTTCTTCAGGAAAATATTGGGACAATCACAAATATCCATCACCATCTGAGCTGAGAGGCATTTCTGGCATCTCTCACAGAGGGTGACAGAAACCTGCCTGTCCTTGGTCCTGCCCTGAGGGTTTTTCATACATTTCATGGCCAGCCAAAGGAATTATGGAGAATGACGGAATTGTTGAGGTTGAAAAAGCCTAGGAGATCACAGAGTCCAACCATTCCTCCAGCACTGCCATGACCACCACTGATCCACGTC